AGGTCACTGACTGCTTGAGATTAAATGAAAGGCTATGGTGAACGAGGGCAATTTTTTCCTACCCAAGGGCATCAAATCGTTTGGTGAGGATCGTGCTACGAAAAAACTCGGCTTAAACATGTAGGACGCTGATTATCTATTTTCTCTGCTGTACCAAAGGCCAAAGGCCTATTTTCCTTGGCTGTGCCATTCACACAGTCTTCATCAGCGCGGCAAAAATTTACTGTAGTAAGTCAGAGCTCCTGATCTCAACTCCTAAATGTTCACAGCTGCAGATACTCCGATAAGCCACCGGGTGACGTTGCATCACGCGCTACTTCAACGGTGGGAGTACGCTTGTGCAGCTGGTCGCACAGTTTTGCTTCTAATCAGAACAAAGGCTATTGTTGTCCCTATAAAAGCGTGCACATCCACTCATGGTAGCTTCCTAAGAATTCTTGCCATTGAGCCCAACAAACGAAAGAAGCTTGGCAATTTTTGCACCCCAAAGATCCGATTTTAATTGCTTTGTAGTTATTTGATATTCTCTCTCTGTTTGATGATGCAAGAATAAGTCCTTATTTTCACTCAAATCCTTAACGAATTCATAAATTTCCTAGCGTTTAAGTGGAAAACCAGCTAGAAAATGAGAGCCTTAGCAATTCTTCTATGCATTGGTTCCGTGCTGTCCTTCCCAGGCTACGATTCGTATGATGAGGTGAGATTTTCTCTCGGTAGTAAAATAATTTAAAGGATTTCGTTTCTGCAGTGCAGGCATTGAAAAACAGAAAAGTGGAGAATATGATGAGAAATCTTGTAAAAATAGTCCACTTAGAATATTATGAGGTCTTCATTATATCTCTAGAACCTTCATTTTTTCCTGCTAGAATACAAACGTGCAAACGCTTGTTTTCAGTACAACGACTTCCAAGAAGACAGTAACGAAGGTCATGGCTGTTCCCACCTTGACTTCCTCAAGGGATTGCCCAAGGAGGCTCTTTCGGAATACTACAAAATCGCACAGGTACGATAATCACGTCCAATATTCCTTCTAAAAAATTGAGTGCTTCCTCCATCTTTCTACCCATGTAGATAACAGTGGGAACGATTGCTGTGAGGATTCCCTCCGAGTTTTCACAACCAGGTGCCGTAATGAATGCAGTTACTAAAAATGTAGAAAGACCAATTCATATCCAGGATTTTACTGTTGCTTTAGCCGAATAATGGTTACGATTAAATTTCGTCCTTAAACAACACAGCCCTTTCGACATCGTAAAATTCATTCTTCAAAGGCGCCAACAAAGGTGCTCAAGCACACCCTAGCATTCTGAGTAAGAAGTGTTGGAACACCAGCATGACCATCACGAAGGAGTTACTGGTGAAGAAAAGGAACTTGACCATTGGTTCGACCGTCACGCTTCCCCTTGGTGGTAATAATGTCAGTTTCCGTAAAATCGTGAGCGACATCTTTCGCTTGCAGTAGTTTTAACGAGAAACTTTTAACATCATCCATCGTGGTGAGAAATAAATGACGCTACAGCTTTTTTCCTTCTTGCCATGGTTACATGGCATCCCAAAAGAATGGCGATTCGGCGACAACGGGCATCAGCAGGCACTACGTTCCTTCGCAGATATCAACTTATCCAATTTGTATAGAGTCTATCAAATTTAGCATGTCGGATCTCAATAGTTCGCTGTATATCCCATGTCTGAAGGGTCATGAGGAACGGTAGGATATGTCAGTTGGATTTTGTCTAATTTGTTTGACGATAAGAGAGCAAAGAAGTGCGAAGATCTGGAAACATTTTACATGAAATTCTTGACTAACTGCTATTGTAAATGTCCAAAGACAGTCAACTCTTACGCTACTTATTTTTTTTGCGGCTACAGGAAAAGAATATAAAAGAAGGCACCATCTTGCGATTACGGCTCGTCATCGCCTTGAAGTGAGCGTTCCTCAAGTTGGACAAAAACTTCTCGTAAACTACATCGTCATCAAAATGTCTTAGCTTTTGTTTATGGCCTATTTTTTTTCAATGGTAAGGTAATGTATAAAATGCAACCACTAGTATACTGACAAACATGATTGAGAAGGGAACGCAAGCACCTCAGCACTGAATAGCACTTGGGCGGCCAGAAAGGTTAACAGCGGGCTCGAAGCCCAGTTGAGGTTCCGAGTATTGTCCGTATCTTGACATCTTTAGAGAAATATTACATCGACATTTTTGACAGATCAACTAGCGAAGCGAAACCTCAACTGGGGAAAAAAGAATTAAGGGAAACAATGGAATTTCAAGTTCACTAAGAGATAGTGCAGTTCCGTGCATTGAACGCCATCGGCGGCCAGTGGGAATGGATAGTTCGCCTATTCTCATGGTACTAGTCATACAAACTAATAAATATTGTTATGTTACCACAGTGATGGTGAGATATCTACGAAAGGGCGAACCGCATGTGTCTGTGATCGGAATCGATCAGTGCCATCAGCAATCACCTGTCAACGGGATTGATGTAGAAGACCCAAATTGGCAACGAATCCAGTTAAGCTGAGGCTGCAATCAAAACCACAATGTTAACTCTTTATTTATTACTTATTGCAATTTTCAGTCATAATTATTACATTGTTTTAGCAACCTAGAATAAATAGCAGTGCTGATTTAATTACTGACGCAACATCACTTTATTACACTCGCATTTCTTTTCAGGACACCTCACAGAGTATACTGGAGATGGAGAAATCTTTGGAACGTTGGGCCGAAAAGCATGGCGTTGAAGTGAGTGAGGCAGCCTAAGTATAATGAACAGGATTTCGAGAATGTTAAATTCCAGGATAAGTACAAGGCTCATGCGCAGAAACACAAAAAACAGTTCGAGGCTTTTAAACGAGCCCTTACCGAACTTACCAAAAAGTTGACCACGTTCTTCAAAGCTTACATAAAGATTGGCAACGACAAGGTTCTACAGTGTTTATTTTTAAATCCATTTTCTACGATACGTAACCCATTTTTGCCCATTTTTTTTTCTTTTTGAGTCTTTACATTCGTTCAGCGTATTCGACTTGAAGTTCTTCCTAAGCCAAAGTGTTCACGTATAGCGGAACCTCTTCAAAGATTGCGAAACCGCACTATAAACACGAGTGTTACTTCAACGAGACCTTCACATTTCAGAGAAAGTCGTACGACACGATGTTCAAGGAAACTCAAAAACTGTTCGAAACGCTGAACAATAAGGAAAAAGGGGTTGTATGCCACATCCTGCATGGAAATTTCGGTAGCCATTAATGATTTCTAAGAGTCGCAGGAAACAGATACCTCATTCTATAGAATATTCTTTAGGAAATGACGGTTCCGACGAAAACAGTGCAGGTTACTACAGAAGCCCTGTTGAATACATCAGTAACGCTGGTGTGTTCTAGTGGGAATAACCATCAAATTTTGATCAGCACCACCTTCGCCAACACTGATTGTTTGCACTTTATCAGATCGTTCTTACTTGTTATGCTACATCGAAAATGAAAAGTTTTTGCGATGTGTGAAAACAGGTAAAAAGAGTGTCGAAAGGTCAACATTTATTTGAGCAGCACACTGAGGAACAAATCATTCAGTTCTTGCGTGCTGTCTTTTACAAACTCACATAAAGTCGTCAGGGTCTTCCCTTGCTTCCTAGTGGTCAACGTCAGAGAGTTTGCCTTTTTAGAGTCGTTTTTACCATATACGGAGTGATTGAAAGCAAAACCCATATTTAACGGTTTCTGAGTGAAGTTTTTAACTTTCATACAAAGAACACATACCCACACTCATCAACCATATGCGACTATAATCAGCTGTTCGTTTCTTCTTGAGCAGAAGGCGCATAAAAAGAGACGGCTCTGAAAAAGGCGGTACTGCCAAAACGCCAGCTCCTGTTCTGTTGCATGTGTTCCTTGTATGCAAGTAAATGCATAACTGTGCTGTATAACATTTTGGTTTCCTGGAGTTCCAAGATTAGCAAGGCCAAAGTCTACCCCAAGTCTTCACCACCACGAGCAGTTGTAGCCCTTGTGGATCAGGGTGAGATTTGCCACCACACGACCTTGATACCAGATGGTGGATTTTGGTGTTGGCTAACTGGAAATGTATATCACAGAAAAAATGCAGAATGTAGTTTTATTTGAAGTGCCACGTGTACTTCACGAAAGTCTGGACCAAGGGTCATGTGTGCATTACAAAGCACTCCTAACCATTGCTCTAGAAGCGCACAGTCTACTTAGAACATTCAATTTCTGGAAAATGGAAAAAAGTGAAAAGGTTGTGCTTCAATGAATTCGAGAGCGAACTAATTTAATCTCTATTTTAGCTTATTATTTACTGCTTGCTCTTTTTAACGGCAAGGTATATATTGCGAAATATAACTTTAATGATACTGAGATATTTGCAAAACTTCGGACCGCAGGTGTATGCGATGGCGAAGGAACGCGCTATTGTCCTTTCCGGAGAGTGACGCGCTTACCACAACACCATGCGGGAGCCCGCTGACAGGTGACTGCTGGTGGCAAAAGATCCATAGAACTAGCTGAGAGACAAGCGAAACAAAGGACACGCATGGTCTGGTGGTGAACGCGTTGATCCCCGGAAAGGACAATAGCACGTTCGTTTCCCATCGCAGACACCTAAGGTCCAGTTCTGCAAATATGTCAGCACCATTAAAGTAAATTTAATCTTTGTTAAAAGAGGAGTTCGTAGAGACCAAGAACCATCCCAATATCGGCCATTGTTGACCGGTTGGACCAAGGCCAACTAATGTTTTGGATGATGTATACTTTAAGGACTTGAAAAAGAGGGATTTTACCAATGGACGCACAAAAAAGATGGGAATAGCACGGCAAGTTTGTTCCGTTAAGTAGAAGATATTCAAATCTTGATAGAACTAGAAAAAGTGCACATGGCCTTAACCGAAGCTTACCCTTCTATGTCGTAGGATAGCGAACCCGACAACAGGCAGTCAGATTGATTTAGAAATGAGCGAACGTTAGAAAAGAAGATATAGTCGTGTGGCGCAGTGGTTGGAGGCGCCACTGCGACGCGCACTTGAAATTAATGCGAGCGCCCATGGCCCACCAAGCGCTCCATACCTCCGGGGTCGGCAAATTGCTAGCACACTTGTCTGAGAGGATAGCAGCACTGGCTCGATGCATCGGTAGGTCACCGCGAGTCATTGTAAAGGCCAAATATGAATTCAATCATCTCCAACGACACTTAATGAAGTCGAATACATGGCGCATCCCTCAGGGATTGATCAACGCCGAGAGCTTTATGCTTTATCCTTTTCCTAAAGCACTGGTGCAAGAACGGTTTAAAAATAATGGCCGCCTTCATCGGAACAAGCCGAAAAATAATTTACGACCAATCTTTACTGCATCCACTGCTGTTGGATAAAATTTCAAGGCCTTGCATTTTCCATGTGATTCATTTTTTTATTATTTTAAACTGATCCCATTCCAGCTGAATTTTGTGCTCATGGTGTGAAACTCGCACTTTTTGCTTGATGAGCTCGAAATTTCGTCTGTGGTATGATTTTCATTTACAATTGACAGCACCCATCTCAAGGCGGTAAGTGGAGCTAGCACTACAACAACTACTCTGGAACTTCTAGGAAAGTTTAAATTTGACCATGAAGTAGATGATATTTAATCGGACGATTTGATGCCCTTGGGTAGGAAAAAATTGCCCTCGTTCACCATAGCCTTTCATTTAATCTCAAGCAGTCAGTGACCTTCTATCAAGAAAAAATTACAGATTAAAGCACCTTAGGTTTTTAAGATACCATTTCACAAACCAAAACAAAAAAAATGTGCAACAAAAACCTTTCTTTCTTCAGTATTAGTCCTACTATTCACACGATCATTGCACTCAAAAAGCTATGCTTTGAAATCAGCAGCATGATCAGCGCATCTTTCCCGCCATTGCGTTAGTTGGTCAACACCTTTCTCTAGCGGTTCGTTGTGGTCCGGCATCTTACTGAAACTTGGGTAATTAAATTAATACCCAACAATGCTTTATTGCATCCATCACCTTGACCACTGCGCCGTGCCAAAGGCGTTCAAAGCTCTCAAGTGAACCAACCGTCTCTTGGATGGTAGATTTCAATTATTGTTATACTGTTTAATAAAAGAAATGAAATTTTGCAAGATTTAAACACCTTTGTTATCTTAGAGGTGCTCCGTGTTATTTCTCTAGCTGCTCGTCCTCGCTGTAGCAAGGCGGTTCGCATAAAATTTCTTCTTCCCGTACAGCATTTGTGCTTCGCTTAGCTGGCACACCGCTTTGATAAGTCATCTACGCCTCCGCCAATGTCCGTGAATATCATTATGCGCCTGTGATTGTCATCTTTGCTTAGCTTAACTGTTAATTTTGTTCTCCAGCACGGGCTGAAATTTCTAGGTTTTACTACTGTTTGATAAGACCAGCTCCGATCTTCGTTAGCGATAGGAATGAGATTTAATTTCTCTATATACACAAAAACTCTCTAGTAAACTGAGCCACATGCATTTAATTCGTAGGCTTATAGCATTTTTTGAATAACTCAGTGGCACGAAATAGAGCTGATGCAAGCGCGAGCCATTGGCATTCTCTCTGTTGGCCTGTAAGTTCAATTATGAAACTAGTTACTACTTGTTATTTTGCTGCTTTCTATCTGTATAACGTGCTCTAAAGTTTTACTCCTAGGAGGAAAATATATGAAGAGGGCATTAGTCTTCTATAATTCTTACCAGCTTGTATGCCCACATAAACATAAAAAGCATATATAAGGGCTATACAACATTGGCAAGGGTTCCATCTCTTAAACCCCTCTCTCATGTTGTCTAATCTCCTACTTTGCACCTAGACATAGGTCACATGTTGAGCCATGTTTATGGCTATGGAGCCTAGTTAGCTGTCAAAATTATAGGTTAACTCACACTCATGTAGGAATTTTTTTATGCAATAAACACTTGAAGTTGAACTCATAAATCTTTTCTATGTGCGAATAGGGAGTTGATTTTCAGTAATTGGCCGTTCAAGCCAAATATGAATGCCAAATTTGGAGTTTGTCATCAAAGCGCCTTCATTTCCGGATTTTAGAAATCGAATGCTGTCTCTTCAACCAGTTTGTTTTTTTCTGAATACTAAAATAATAATTGCACTTCAAGAGCAATGAAAGTACTTTAACAAGCTAGACCTTCTCTCGTTTCAAAGAACGGCTGTATCCGCATACATGCCTGCGCGACTTCCTCCTGCAATGGCTGTAATAGTTTAAGCACTTTCTTTTAATGCAATATTTTGCACACTGAGTAGCTTCTTGTACACAGATATTCCATCAGCTTTGAGAGTACGGCTCGCTTCAAACTGAGCCTCAACTTAACAGGGTTCAATGCCGATTTGGGCTCCCCACATCAATTCCGTTGACGGGTAATTGCTGATGGCAAAAGATCGATAGAACTAGCTGAGAGACAGGCGAAACAAAGGACCCACATGGTGTGGTGGTGAACGCGTTGATTCCCGGAAAGGACAATAGCACGTTCGTTCCACATCGCAGACACCTGCGGTCCAGAGTTTTGCAAATATCTCAGCACCGTTATAGTAAATTTAATCTTTGTTAAAAGAGGCGTTCGTAGAGATCAAGAACCACCCCAAAATCGAGCATTGTTGACCTGTTTTACCAAGGCCAACTAATGTTCTAGATGCTGTACACTTTAAGGATTGAAAAAGATGGATTTTACCAATGGCCGCACAAAAGAGGTGAGAACAGCACGGCGAGTTTGGTCCGTTAAGTAGAAGATAATTGAATTTAGATAGAAATAGAAAAAGTGCACATGGTCTTAACTGAAGCTTACCCTTCTATGTCGTAGGATAGCCAACCAGACAGCAGGCAGTCAGATTGATTTAGAGATGAGCGAACGCTAGAAAAGAAGATATAGACTTTAAAGTACGTTCTAAAGCACAGGAGGGGCGCGTGTGGCGCAGTGGTTGGAGGAGCCACTGAAATCGATGCCAGCGCCTATGGCCCACCAAACCTTCCATCCTTCCAGGGTCGGCAAATTGTTACCACACATGTCTGGAAGGATAGCAGTACTGGCTCGATGGCCTCTATAGTAGGCCACCGCGAGTCGTTGTAAAGGCCAGATATGAATTCAATCATCTCCAACGACACTTAATGAAGTCGAATACATGGCGCATCGCTCAGGGATTGATCAACGCCGAGAGCTTTATGCTTTATCCTTTTCCTAAAGCACTGGTGCAAGAACGGTTTAAAAATAATGGCC